CTCCCCTGTGAGAGTGGTTTTCTTTTTTGAGGGTGGGAGTCCTCTACCCCTTCTCTCCCTTTCTTGAAAATCTTACAAATTAAGACAAAAGATAATTACTTGGAGGGGCAAAACTGGCAGGTTCCCACGACACTTAAAATTAATGAGCTGTTGAGTACAAAATATACCTTGTCTTGGGCTCTATCGCCTGTGCCCACTCCTCCCTCCCCCGCTTCCTTCCCATTTAACACATGATTTGACTTTTTGGCTGTGTTTGCTATTGGGGTAGATTGCTGCTATAAAATCGCAAGATGGTTACAGAAAGCAAATTCATTTGAAAACCATCTCTTTGTTTGCAAATCAAAGTTAGTTTGACTTGGCTTTTAAGTTTTGCATATTTAAAAATCCTCCCTGCCCCTTTGCAGGCTATCTTATCAAAATACTCTTCAGCAGCACCCACCCTGCAGTCCCAGAGCAGCATGTGGCCTTCCTCAGCTGGCCTAGCAGGACCCAGCTCCTCAGAGCCGCCTCGGGAGGAGCCTGGTGGGGGTGGAGAGTCCTCCCAGGCAGTGCAGTGGACAGAGGGTCCTGAGTCTCTCTTCAGGCGCAGATAGTGCTGATGGAGCAGCTGCTCACAGTTCAGAACTGGCTGCCCTCCATGATCTGCTTGGGAGGGAGCGTGCAGCTCCTGACACTCAGGAATAATGCGGGGAGCAAACTGACGGCACCCCCAGGCCCAGGCCTGTGCCTCCTTATGGTTTTCTTGAGATCTGAGAGAGATGGATACAGCTGTTATCTCCAATCTACATGTTGGTCAACAAGGTTTGTGCAGGTAACTAGACCAACGTCCAGTAAGTAGTTAGCAAGTGACCTTTGCCACAGAATCTGAGCCCCAGATGATGTCAGAGGCCGGAAAGTGGGAAGCCAGGTCTATCTAGCATGGTGGCTTTAGGCATTTGGTCTCAGGACCCCTTTGCAATCTTAAAAATGATTTAAAAAATATTTAGCATATTAAAACTGAAACTGAAGACATTTTACAAGATTCATTTGAAAATGAGACAATCCCATGATATGCTAACACAAATGGCCTTTTGGGGAAGATTAGCAGGGAGCAGCAGTGCAAGAAGATTGCAGTTCTTCCACATCTTCTCAAACCTGGAATGTCCCTTCTTTGATAATTAACCCATCTTAGTGGTGTGAGCTCCTTGTGTTTACTTTTTTTTCTAAATGTTTTTAGTTGTCAAGGGATCTTTATTTTGCTTCTTTACATGCGGTGCTGAGAATCCAACGCAGTGCCTCACACATGCTAGGCAAGCGCCCTACCACTGAGCCCCATCCCCAGGCCTCCTTGTGGTTTTCCTTTGCATTTCGGCTTGGCTCACCTCCCTTTTGTTCTGCATCGTCAGTGCGGGTGTCAACCTAAGGTCTTAGGTTCCTGGTGGGTCTCCTGAAAGTCTTTCACCCCCAGGTGTCTGCAGCCCTACTTGAGAGCTCTTGATCTGACCACAGGCTCCTGATCCTGATGGCGGTGTGTGTTGGGTGTTTGTGATTTGTTTTTTCTTGGGCAGGTTTTACAGTTTGGATGCAAGGTGGCTTCCCAAAGCTCGGGTGTGAGACGATGCAAGAAGGTTCAGGAAGAGAGTTTGGGTTGTGAGAGCCTTAACTCTATCAGTGAATTAGGGGGTTAGTTGAGTGGTAACTAAAGGCAGGAGGGGTGCGGCCAGAGGGCATGGGTCATTGGGAGAGTGCCTTTGGGGCACATGTTTTGTATCTGGAGAAGAGAGAGAGACACTCTGTTTCTGATCCTCGTGTGAGCTGCTTCCCTCTGCCACACTCCTCCACCATGATGTTCAGCCTCACCTTGAGCCCTGAGGAGTGGAGATATCGGTACCTAAGGCCTTAGTTTCCCTGGTGGGTCTTAGTCTCTATCTGTGGACTAAGGCCCTGAAACCGGGAGCCCCCAAATAATCTCGTCCTCCTCTACAGTTGTGCTGCTTGTGTCCTTTTAGTCACAGCAGCAAAAAGTTCACTACAACAGCAGGGAATGGCCATGGTCTTGCAGCTGGGGCCAAGTGGTGGCTCTGCTGGGCCTTTTCCAGATCCCATTGAGGGCCTGGCAGCTGAGTTGGGGACTTGCGGCATATGGTCTGTGTGGCAGGCTTGGTGACCCTAACAGCGGGAGGGTGTGATGGATCTTGCTCAGGCCATACTCTATCTAAATGGGGGAGGGATAGGAGAAAAAAGAGCTGATCATAATGTGATAGTGCAGTAACCTGCGGGGACCCCCTTTAACCCCCAGGGTCTCCCAAGTGGTGCATACCTGCTGAACCCCAGCGTGTGCTGTGGTTTCCCCATTCCACAGATGAGAAAACTGAGCATCAGTAACTTGACTACCTGGTAACCTTCCCAATGGTTTGGAGGGGGTTCTCAGAATATATTTTTTAAACCTTGGGGGTGGGATAGCTTTGGAACTAGCAATTAATAGCAACGTGAAACAACGTATATCTCTACTGGGAATGAAAAAAACAGATGTTCAGAATATTTGAGATAAAAACTACATTCTGTTCTGTGCTATTCTCAAAGGATCGGCATCGCTGCTTTAGGAAATCGGTGAGCAGTCCGGAATGGCCTGGGTCGTGTACTTGTTTGATTTTTAATCACACTGAAGTATGAATTCGTACGGATGTTGCTTTTAATTTGTCTTGAGCAGGCACAGATGCTGCCAGCTTGGGCATGATTGATGGTTTCTGACAATGGTTGTGACTTACTAGGAGAAAGGAGTGCAGCCGTGCGCAGTGCTCCACTTTGTGTGGCAGGCTGTCCAGGGCACCCCGTGCACCAGAGGAGCGTGCCCACGTGTCGCTGAGCCTGGTCTTGACTCTGGTGCTGAAAGCCTGTTCTGAATTTTTAATCACTGGTTAAAAATTGGATCAAGATTCACACCCAGGTAGATATGGAAACTGTAGGTCTGTGTTGCAGACTACACCCAGAATAGTGCCATTGGGCTCAAGAGTCAAGCAACTGAGTCAGAAAATAATCAAAAGGAAAATTTAGATATTTTGCCTCTTGGCTAAAGGGCTGGGGATGGAGAGATGTTGGTCAAAATTCGACAGGATTGCTTTCGGGAGATCTGTCGGTGACTGTAGTTAATTCAAGTACCCTAGAGTTGCTTGATCTGTCACAAAGTAAGCGTGCGAGGTATTAGATGAGTTTGATTTAATTAGTTCATTTTTTAGATGTATGCGCACACATCCCCTAAAACATCATGTCATATGCTCCAAATGTATAAAATTCTTGTAGATTATTTTTTAGTTAATCTGGGACTTCAGTTAATCTATGGACTTTAAGCATAAAAGCAAAGAACTCCAGCAGATTGGTTAGCAATGCCCTTGGGGTGAAGAAGAAACAGGTTTCCTGGAGTGTCTTCCTGGGGTCAGTCTGCTGTCCTGGGGTCTGTCTGCCACTTTCATTATTACCCAAAAGAAACTATTTTGTTTGAGCAGTTGCATTGCATTTTGGGAAATCTTTAATAACTATTGGGTTTACCACAATATGTGAACCTTAAAAGTATTTAAAAAAAAATTTAAGCAGATTTAATATCCCAGTAAAGAAGCAAAGGACCAATGAAGAAAATATTTGCACCCTTTAAGGCAGAAACAGAATTTAAAGACTGTTTTCAGACTGGTGCAAGAGCAAGCATTGGAGGAGATGGGGTGTAGATGGTGGTGTGAGAAGTGACCCTTCAAGGGGAGAGGGCCCGTGGTGTCCGGCGCCTGGGGGCCGCTAGAAGGAGGGAGAGTTCACTGCTGCCTTTCCAAGCAAGCAGAAGCTCTTCCCTCAGGGAGTCTTTCTATGCCTCCTGCTGCTCAGGTAGCACATTCTCCCTGAAGCCCCACGGGTCCTGGATGGAGCAGGAGGCCTTCAGTCACTTGGGTGCTAGATGGGCCAGTGGACACCTGACCCTTTAAGGCTCCCTTGACAGATTTCAGGGGCAGCTGAAGAGCTTGCCGCGACGGCCTTGCACTGCTCCACCTAGAGCAGCCCAAGGAGAGGAGCCCTGGCCAGGCTGCCTGGAGAGGAGGGCCAGCAGTGGTTCCAGAGAAGCATGCAGGGAAGGGCTGGACCTGGGACTCTTTGGATTTGCCAGTCCTAGCAGGAGATGGAAAGAAAAACCTGCTGGGCCACATCAGGGTCAGGATCCACGGCACGCAGGAAGCTGCCTGGGGAGGCCCGACTGGGAGCAGGGCCTGGCAGGGAGCTGGCCTTGTCCCTCTGTGCTGTCCTGCTGCTCAGCGTGTTCTCGGGTGCAAGCCCTCACCTGATACGTGGTGAGTGCTGAGCCCTCGCCTCCTGGGTGGGGTTCCGGTGTGGCTGAAGGGTATGTGAGTTTAAACCTGAAAATGCGTTGTTTTATTCCGGGTGTCGTATAAGTTGACAATCAGGGCGGTCATGTTCTTGGAAGGTCCCAGCTTTAAGGTTTGGCTCTGCTGTCTCCAGTTTAGGAAGTTACGGGAGGAGTACGTGCTCAGTAGAAGCTGTTCACTGAATTAGAATCTGGTTCTTTTCCCTGGGTAGCAGCATGAGGTTTGATCCTCTCGGGAGACGCAGGTCGCGCCCAGCCCTGTGTCCCTGAGGCCAAAAGCCTGCTAAGCTGGGGTGTGGTGGGTCAGCTGGGGGTGCGTGTCCATCTTATCATGACGTAGCCCCTCTGTGGTCGAGGGACATCTGTGCTGTTTCTCCAGTTTACCTTCTGTCCCTTAAAGGTGTGGCGTGACTGCTGAGGGGCGCTGCGGTTTTGGCGGGGTCGTCTTAGGACTGGATTTTCCCATCCTTTCAGCCAGAGCCAGCAGTCCCTGGATGCGATCTGGAGTGTTTCTTTAGTTCCCTGTCTTGTTGAAGGGTCTCGTGTCATGCATGTCCTCTTGAGGAGGTCTGGACACCGGGCGTTTGGGGAAGAGAGCTGGTGGGTGGTGGCCCTCTGCTCCAGGTGCTGACCGCCATCTTCCTCCTTCCTCTTCCAGTTTTCAATGGTTCCAGCAGGTCGACGCGGGAGAAGGAACCTGTTCAGAAACACAAAAGCAAGGAGGCCACTCCCGGGAAGGAGAAGCACAGCGACTCCAGGGCGGACAGCCACGGCCGAAGGGAGCCGGCTCCTGCGCCGCCTGCGGCTGCCCCCGCCTCAGCTTCCTCGGCCAAGGGGCTCGCTGCCAGCCACCACCCCCCTCCACATCGGCCGGCTCAGGACTTACGGAAGCAGGTAACACCCTGCCCAGGGTGCCCGCGTGTGTGCTGGAGCCCAGCTCCCCATGTCACTCTCCAGGTAAAGAGCAAACCGCCCGCCAGAGGCCCCCGGGAGGGCGTGGTGCACAGAGCACCCCTTTACCCTGGAGAGCGCCCCTTTACCCTGGAGTCGTGCTCTGCCTGGGAGCCCCTGTGATGGGGCCTGGGATTTCCTGGTCCAGGAGGTGGAAATGACCTCCATTCTCCATCTTCCTCCCCACCCTGGGTGCCCAGTGAGTGCGCGACTCTGGAGCTGGGAATGTGCTGCCGTGGGCTGAGAGCAGTGGCTTGGGCTTTGAAGCAGGCCAGGGTGGTCTTGGGGGAAGGTTTGTCTGCTTTTCTGCTGTTTGACAGGACAGGCTAACATCTCGCAGGCGTTCCCTGAGCAGAGGCCGTGAGGGGTCTGTGGGGCCTGCATGGGCTGGGCTGGGGCCATGTGGCTTCTGCTGAACCCAAGGCATTGAGTCCTGCTCGGGTCTCTGGGGCTGGGCCGGTGGAGTACAGCTGCCCAAGGCTCAGAACCCTCATTTGCCCCTCACTGAGAGTAGCCTTAGATGCCAGCCCTGAGCTGCCCAGGCAGGAGCTGCTATTACCGTTAGGAAAATGTTCGTGTCCCGGGACAGTGATTTCTGAGGGCCCTGGGAGATGGCTAGGAGGGGCATAAAGCCATTTCCCTGAGGCACAGTGGCATTCCATGACCCCTGGTGTTGCTGACTGCAGTGTGGGTTCAAGGCCACAAAGCTGGGCTCCTTGATGAGGTGCCCTTGCTGGGAATTCTAGCAGTTAGTTTTCCCTGGAATAAACTAGACCCTGTAATCAAAAAGATTGAGTCAGAACAAGGTGGGGAAGGGACAGAAGAGACTTCCGGAATGGGAATATTCTAGAGTGACTAAAAGAAACAGATGGTCACTGTGGTTGGAAACTAGTAGAATTCTTTCCCCCAATCTTGGTTATTATTTCTGTCTGAATAGGAATGTGTGAGTGTGTTCATATGTAAGCAGGTAGGTGTCTATATTCATGCACGCAGCACCACTTCTTAGGAGCAAGAATTGTCCTTTATGTTCCCAATACTCTATAGGTACCCGCTTCACAATATTTTGTAATACTATTTAAGATTAAGCAAGTGAGGCCAGGCAGGGTGGCACACTCCAGTGATCTCAGTGGGTTGGGAGGATTGGAAGTTCTAGGCCAGGCTCAGCAACTTAGCAAGGCCCTAGGCATCTGTCACAAAATACAAAATAAAAAGGGCTGGGAATGTGGCAGAGCATCCCTGAGATCAATCCCTGGTACAAATAATTTTAAAAAGTTACATGATTTTATAGTATCATCCAATAGTAGTGGCTGTGATTTCCAGAACATAAACCTCGCTATTTTCCTAGGGACAGCAGCCAAGAGTGATGGTAGAGCTGGCCTCCCAAATCCATGTGTTCAGTTCTCTGAAGTGCGAGGTGCAGGGGAGCACCCCACCTGGTTTCTGGATCCCCTTCACCCCACCTTCACCATGTGGCCTGACAGGAACTGGGTATAACTTGCTTCCAGATGATGCTTTGCTTGTGAAGAGAGCAGAATTAAAGGCGACCAAAAGAGATGGTGATACACCACTGAAGCTCCGTGTGTCCTGTTCCCTAGAACCCCAGATGGGGTAGGTTTGCAGCATCTTCTGTCTGTGCCACTGGGATTTTTGTTTTTCCTCCCCCTTTTGGGGGAATGGAGCCTAGGGGTACCCTACCACTAAGCCACAGCTGTAGCCCTTGTTGTTTTGAGACAGGGTGTTGCCGAGTTGTCAAGGCTGATCCTCCTGTTTTGGCCTCCCGAGGCTCTGGGATTACAGGCATTGGGCCACTGCGCCTGACTGCTTTTTGGGAGGCAACAGCATCAGACATTCTTCCCAGTCCACCAGAGCGCCTAGTGGGCCACAGTAAGCCCGGGCGTTGTGTCTAGTGGAGCATCGGCCTTTTCCCTCCCTGCCCAGAGTCCTGTTCATGAGGCAGGAGTGAAGGACTGGGGGCCTTGGCAAGGGATGCCAGTTCCCAGAGCGTGATCTCCCTGCTGTGCACAGGCGTGTCCCCTTCCTCCTCTGTCCCTGTGTGTGGTTGGTAGCCTGGATTCCGTCTGTCCTCTCCGCTGTCTCGGGAGCATCTTCAGCTCTGAGCACTCGCCCTGTAGTTCTGGGTTTCTCTTTGTAACCAGAGGCGAGCACTGAGTACCATCACACCCAGAGTGGCCTTTGTCGCCTGCTTCGTTGGCATGCACAGGTGACCTCTTCTGCTTCAGGCCGTGGAGGAGGGGTCCTGGGTGGCCCTTCCAGGGCAGGCTCATCCCTGGAGAAGCCCCCGGAGTAGCCCCCGGAGTCTTGACTGGCTTCCTTGGTCCGGGAGGCCCTCTGTAGGTGGTGCTCCTGCTCAGGCCTGGTGGCCCCCACTCCTGCCTCTCTCCCTCTCTGGGTCTAATCAACCCAGACAGGATGACCCAGGGCTCCTAGTTCCAATGTTATTGTGACCCGACCTTGACTGAGACTTGAGATGTGATGTTTCACCTTCCTGCGCCTCATTGTTCATTTTGATCCAATCATGCCAACTCCTTTCACAGGGACGTTGTGAGAAATGAAAGGATAATTTTGAAACCATCAGATCTCTTAGTTAAGTCCTCTGGAATAAGGTCAGTAACAGCAGAGTGATGCAAATGATCAGACCTTGACCTTTCATCTCTCATCTTTAATTTTAGATCTTTTTTAAAAATGTCAGCCTAAGGGAAAAAAGGTAAATTTGATTTTGGGAATTTATGTAGGTGGGATGATGGGATATTTTGTTTTTATTATTTTGGCACTAGGTTCTTAACCCAGGGGCATTTAACCACTGAGCTACATCCCCAGCCCATTTTGAGATGGGGTCTCAGTAAATTGCTTAGGGTCTCTCAAAGTTGCTGAGGCTGATCTCGAAAGTTGTGATCCTCCTACCTCATCCTCCTGAGATTACAGGTGTGCACCACCACACCCGCCTAGGGATACCTTTTTGGTTTTTTAAAAATATTCTTTTCTAGTAGATGGACAGAGTAGCTTTGTTTTTATGTGGTGCCTAGGATAGATACCCATTGCCTCACGTGTGCCAGGCAAGCGCTCTGCCAGCGAGCCACAACCCCAGCCCTTGGCCAGCTGTGCGTGTGGCTGGCTGGCTAACACCTTTTGTTTTCCTGAAATAGTGCTTCAGCGTAGATGTAGTGGCAGAAGCTACCGGTTGAGGATGGACACACCTGAGGGCGCCTCCTCAGAGCAGGTTCTGACGTCCTAGTGCCAAGACGGTCGTGGGAAGGTGTTTGCGCAAGTGGAAGCCGTGTGCTCTGAGCCGGGACATGGACACCTGTGGCTGTAACACAGAGAAGGAAGCTGGGCTCACAGAGGCAGCCCGAGAGACGATAGCCCCTGCTGAATCACCAGGAGGCGTTTCATGTGGCAATGTGCAGGGGTTCCAGAAAAGACCTGGCTTTGTCTGAGTCTGGGCCAGAACTTTTGGAAGATGAATTCAGGAAAATAGGATTGGGAATAAGTTCTGGAAAATATTATTTGAACACGCAGGGAATTGGAAAGTTGCCTTGGTTATAAAAACATGTTCCAGGGCTTTGTCCCCTTCTCATGGTTGTGCCTGCAGTTTGCAGTGCACGTTTTTGGCAGGTGTATTTCTTTTTGGTTAAGTTCCCCCGAGTTGTGAGGACATCCAGGCCCCTGTCCTCTGCCCTGGGCTTTCCCTTGGTGGCCTGGCTGCTGTGGTCCCTACTACCGCAGTCTTTGCTCCCCCTCTTACTGCTCTGCCTGGGCACCGTAGTTCTGTTGAGGGTGGAACCTCTTTGGTTTTTGGCCTTGGGGTCCAAGGGGACTGCTTCACCCTGCAGCTGTCCCTTATCTAGAGCTCCCGGCAGCACCTGTCCTCCTGAAGGAAGGAGGGCAGAGGCCTCTGGCTCGTGGGCGCCCTCTAGTGGTGATCCAGAGCTTGACCACAGTGCCCCTGACTGAACCCAGGAGGAAGGTTCTTTTGGTTCATCAGAAACATCACAGTCGTTTCCATCTTCTCCGGAAATGTGCGGTTTTCCTTTCTCGTGTCAGGCTGCTCAGTTGACTTTCAGCATTGCATCTGGGTTGTAAGGTGGAGTGAAGCGTTAAGCACAGTGCTTTTTATATTCTTTCAAGAAGCACATGATCACACTGTAGCCTGGGCATGGTTTTGAAAAAGGAATTTCTAATAAATTAATCAAGCTGGATGTGATGGCATGCATCTGTAATCGCAGCAACTCAGGAGGCTGGTGGAGGCAGGAGGATTGAAAGTTGGAGGCCAGCCTGGGCAGCTTTAGCAAGACCCTGTCAAAATAAAAAAGGACAGAGATCTGGAAGTGTGGGTCAGCAGTACAGCGCTCACCTAGCATGTGCAGTGTTGTGAGTTGATCCCCGTACCACCAAGAGGAAAAGGAGGTGGGGGGGAGAGCCAAGAAGGAGTGCTTAGTGCCTTCCCCATGACGGCCTTACTGCAAGAAGAATCTGCTATTTCTCTGGGAGGAGGCAGGGACTAGGCCAGTGGAATCTAGCTTGAAAACCCCTCAGCTGCCTGTTGACTTGTCACCTTCCTGGCTACATGCCTGGGGTCACCTCTGAGATGTAGATGACCAGTGTATGATTGCAAGTCAGGGAGAACAAGCTGCAGACACCTTGCTTTTCTGCAGAGCTGGGCTAGGAGTGGGAGCCCAGGACCCATGCCAGAGCCGGGGCTGGAAGCTGCTGGCTTGTTGTAACACATTGGAAGACCCTGCTCTAAACGCAAGCCCAGGAGATGAAGACACGTCTCTCCTGGGCGTTTCGTTGTAGAAGGCGGCTGCCATAGGATGTACAGCCCCGGCCCCTGGCCTCCCTTGTGTGCTGGTCCCATGACAAGGCTATTTTGTTAGACTGAAATCCTTAATACCTCAAACAACACAACTTTTAGTTGTAGATGACATGATACCTTTATTTTATGTGGTGCTGAGGATCAAACCCAGTGCCTCACATGTGCTAGACAAGTGCTCTACCTCTGAGCCACAGCCTCGGCCTACAACTAGTATTTTTCTTTTGCTTTTTAATTGTTTTATAGTTGTAGATAGACAGAATGCCTTTATTTCCTTTTATGCGGTACTAAGGATGGAACCTGGTGCCTCTCACATGCTAGGCAAGCACTCTGCCACTGAGCTCCAGCCCTATACAATGTAGTAGTTTTATGGAGGTGTGTCATGCTGCTGCTGCCGTAGTGACATATCCCATCACCTTAAGACCTTACTTCTCTGAACTGTAGCTGGCCAGAAGCCCAGGTGGCCCCAACGCCAGAGTGGATGGGCCCAAGGGCCTTGGCCTGGCTTTGAGGTCAAATCTGAGGGATGCTGAGCTGTCCCTGCAGATGAACAGTGGTGTGCAGAGGGCTGGGCCAAGGGTGTGAGGGTCCCTGTCCTTGGGGCTCACTTGCTTCTTTCCTCCTTCTGTTCTTTAAATTTCTACGATGTTTTGAAGGAGGTAGCTGCTTTGGGGACACTGAGCTATCAGGGAGCTGTGCCTGTACCTAGTGGCTTCCCAGCCAGGATGTACAGACTCCCAGGCCCTGGCCCTTCCTTTCGGTGCTCCTGGGTGAAAAGTGCTCTGTGGTTTCTGCTGTGTGACAGTTGCTGTGTGGTTTTTAGGCTGCCTCGTTTTGGAGATGGCAGTGTTCTGAAACCCTGCTGTCCTCAATTTTAAACTCTGGCTGTAGAGGAAGAGGGCTGTCCCCTTCAGTGTGGTAACAAGGTTTCATGGTGCAGAGGTCTGTCCAAAACCTGCAAGCCTGGCACAGCCCTGCTCTAGACCCTGCTCTTTGAAGGGAGTCCAGCACCCACTTCCTGGTCCTCTGTACAGGAGCCACCCGGACGGCAACACTAAGAGGTGCCTCTGTTCACCCAGTTTACTTAGAACGGGCCGTGGGAGCCCGTCAAGGGTGAGGAAGTAGGAACTGTGTGTGCACAAGAGGGCTGGGTGTGTGCTGCCTCCAGGGAGCTCGGCACCCACCCTGGTCCTCCAGGCCCATTATCAGGCCATTCTGAAAGATGGTGACAGCCAGGCAGGTGGCTGCTGGGGTTTCTAGCCACACCTCTGGCTCTGCTGCGTGTCCAGACCAAGCCCACCAGTGTTGCTGCTCTTTCCCTGCCATGTCAGGTCTGTTCTGTTTTTAGCCACATAGTTTTAAATTCTGTGGCCGTGCATGCTGTTGTGTGGAGCAGAATGTGGCAAACAGCTTTTTTGGAACAGGGAAGTGCATTTGTATGCTTCAAAGTTTCCCCAGTAGGCAGGATCTTGGTGCTATTGACCCTTATATACCCAGCGTAGGAGATTTTGAGGTGTGCGGAAGGTCCTCATGAACACCAGAGGTCCATAAAGAGCCTCCTGAGCAGGAAATCACACCCAGGGCCCAGGAAGAGCTCCAGCCTGGGCCAAGCTGCGCGTTTTTGTGCAGCATAAGATCCTGAGCTGAATGTCGGTGTCACTGAGGATTTTGAGTGTGTTCTGCCTCAGCTCGCTGGTGTACCCATGTCCCTTCTTAGTAAAGGTGGCAGGCTCTGTGCCGTCACCCATGGTCCTTCGTGGTGGGCTGGTCCGCGTCTGGGTGCAGGTACTGATGCTGCTTTCCCCTCTGCTTCTGCTGCTCCCTAGGTTTCTAAGGTAAACGGAGTCACTCGAATGTCATCTCTGGGTGCAGGTGCAACCAGTGCCAAAAAGATTCGCGAAGTCAGACCTTCACCATCCAAAACTGTGAAGTACACTGCCACGGTGACCAAGGGGACTGTTACGTACACCAAAGCCAAGAGAGAACTGGTCAAGGAAACCAAACCCAATCACCACAAGCCCAGTTCAGCTGTCCACCACACAATCTCAGGGAAAACCGAAAGTAGCAATGCAAAAACCCGCAAACAGGTGCTATCCCTCGGGGGGGCGTCCAGGTCCACCGGGCCTGCCGTCAACGGCCTCAAGGTCAGTGGCAGGTTGAACCCAAAGTCATGCACTAAGGAGGTGGGGGGGCGGCAGCTGAGGGAGGGGCTGCGGAATTCCAAGAGGAGACTGGAAGAGGCACACCAGGCGGAGAAGCCGCAGTCGCCCCCCAAGAAGATGAAGGGGGCGGCCGGCCCCGCCGAAGCCCCCAGCAGGAAGGCCGCGGCCGCCCCGGCCGAGAAGCCCCTGCTGAACGGACACGTGAAGAAGGACGTGCCCGAGCGGAGTTCGGAGAGGAGCCGGCCGAAGCGGGCGGCGGCCGGCAGGAGCGCGCCGGGCAGACAAGCACACGGCAAGGCGGACAAGGCGGACAAGGCGGACGGCGCCGCCCCCTGTGACCCCCGTTCTACCTCGCAACCCGAGCCCGCGCACAAGCCGCACGAGCCGCCGGGCAAGCCCGAGAAGGGCGCCAGGGCCGGCTGGGCGGCCATGGACGAGATCCCCGTGCTCAGGCCCTCGGCCAAGGAGTTCCACGACCCGCTCATCTACATCGAGTCGGTCCGCGCTCAGGTGGAGAAGTACGGCATGTGCAGGGTGATCCCGCCGCCCGACTGGCGGCCCGAGTGCAAGCTCAACGACGAGATGCGCTTCGTCACGCAGATCCAGCACATCCACAAGCTGGGCCGGCGCTGGGGCCCCAACGTGCAGCGGCTGGCCTGCATCAAGAAGCACCTCAGATCTCAGGGCATCACCATGGACGAGCTCCCGCTCATAGGTGAGGTCTGGGGCCTGGGGCCCGCGCCGTGCCTCTCCCCACCGCCTGGCTCACCCTGTGACCACCCGGGCTCACCCCTGTGACCACCCAGGCTCACCCTGTGACCACCCAGGCTCACCCCTGTGACCACCCAGGCTCA